CCGCTGGTTTTAAGAACGTGTATCATCAACACTGGTCACCATCAAACCTAAATAACCGCGTTGTCTGACGACGCAAAGTCTTGATCTGCAACAGTTTGAGCAAGTCACGTAGTTGATGGGAGTTTTCAAATGCAGCAGCCCGGATGATTGAACAAACGCTCGGTGATGGCGTGTGGGAATACGGCTCATTCTTATTCCACGCAGAACAATTGAGCGGTAAGACTCAGGGTGAAGTGAGGCAGTCTTTGTCCTATGAAAAAGGAGGGACTGCCTCGATGCAACAATATTTATGGGCGTAAAACTCTCAGACAGTCGAGAACCGCACTTATCCACCATTTACCAACGAGAATATAAAAGACCGGTGTGGAAATCGTCACACCAGTTAACTACACAGAGAACAGGTCATTTCGAAGTATTGAAATCCAGAGTCAGCCATAACAAGAATATTGCCACCAGTAAAATCCGCTACCGACCATTTACTGATGGAAAGCGCAAGTAGCGTTCAGGGCACTTTGGCTGGACATGTGTTTCGGAGAATGAAAGGCGGAAGTCGTTTTACGTGCTATATCCGGGAAGACTGACTGGCTACCTGGCACGCCCATAAGTGGCGGATAGTGAAACGGCCTTCAGTGAGGGTTAGCTGCAGAAGAAGCAGGCCCTCGGATCTAACGAACAAGCAATCCGAGCCGTTGTTGGGTACTGGCCTGCACGCAAAACCTCCAGAAAACCCCGTGAAATGTACGACTCAAGCACTACGACCCATGAGACGGCGTCTGAGGGAGCCGATGAACTTCGTAACCTGGTCCAAGGGTGCCGGCGACCAGTACGGCAGTTGGATTAATCAATCCGAAACAAAATATTGGTTTTGGATTCCGGAGCGCACGAACGTTCCTGGACTCCGGTACCAAAAGTCTGACGGTGCATAGTCTTCATTCGGCACGACGCGGACGCTTGATGCCTATCCGAAGTTCGTGTCCTCGATTCCGGTGGTCGGAAAATAAATATCCCAGGAGTCGACTCCCACTTCACCCTATATCACAGCAACCCACAAAAATCTTCTAGTAGACAGTGTGAAGTAATTGCCCTCTCTTAACAAATGAACCATGCACCAGATTGCTTTTGTACGACTGGGACGGGACTTCACAAACATTTCTATCGTCTCTGTATACGCCCCGACATCATTCGCGGACGAATGCGATAAGACACCTTTGACTCGTGGCTGCAACACCTAGCCGACGGATTCCTCCGCCGTACTATGTTGATTGTTGTCGAGGACTGGAGTAACCGAACAGGACCAGACAATTCCTCAAGTAGTCACCTTACTGACCGCGTTGGGCTTGGCTCTCGATGCGAAAAAGACTGGACTCTATTAGTGCGGACCGACTATTTGTCACCAACACGGGCTTCCAGCACCACCGTTGGCCTTTGCTGACCCGGTCTCCAAACAATGGTTATAAGGCCAATCAGATCGGCCGCCTCATAGTTGGTTTAAGGTTAACGATAGCAGATCGATGCGTTGGGCGAAGCTGGTAACGCCCATGGGCTGGACCATGTTCTTGTTCTCACATGCCTTTAACTTCGTCCCTCATCCGCCCGCAAATCGCCACGTGCAAGACGTCTTGATGTCGCAAAGCTACGACAAATCAACACAACCGAAGCCCTGAGTACAAAAATCTGGTTCCATTTTACGAGTCAAAGAAAGTAGCGGCCAATGGTCATTACTGGGGCCATCCGTCTGCAAGACAGCTGAAAAAAACGTTTGGTTCACCCATCGGCGAGGTGGTGACTGGAGCAGCGAAAGAACCCTGCAGTTTTCTACCCAAAAGGCTCGTGGTAAGTCCCCCAATGATTCCTTCCGCCGACTCCAGAAAGTGAAGCCAAAGGCGGCCAAATCGGTCGGTTTATTTACACTCTGAGGAGAGCAGTGTTTTCGAGCTATATCCAAGACCAGGAGAATGTACCCCTCAGAATTAATAGCTGTCGTCTCGGGGAAGTACATAGTTTCGAATATCTCGGAGCAATGTTAATACCAAATAGACAGATTAAGAAACATATCGTCTCCTGAATCGATATTGTTCGCTCGACTTTCACAATCCCCAGAAAGTGTCTATAGATCTGACACAACATTTCTACCGCCACGATGATCTGTGTGTAACAGGCATCTGTCCGGTCGATTTTCCTACGCCA